TCACAATCGATCTCACTCGATCTATCTCATGCGATCGATATCACAATTGATCTGACTATCGATATCACAATCAATCTCACATTCGGTATCACTATCGGTCTCACTATCGATATCACAATCGATATCACAATCAACGTCAACATCATCATCAACAACAACATCATCATCGTGGCACCGTCATCAACAACATCATCAACATCATCATCATCATCATCATCATCATCAACGTTACCATCACCATCGGGACACCATCATCATCATCAACATCATCATCGGGACACAGTCATTGCCATCATCATTATCATCAGCATCATCATCATCATCGGGACACAATCATGAACACCATCATGTTCATCATCATTATCATCATCATCATCATCATCATCATCATCATCATCATCATCGGGGCACCATCATCATCATCATCATCACCATCATCATCATCATCTCACCATCATCATCAACATCATCATCATCAACAATATCATCATCATCATCATCATCATCATCATCATCATCATCATCATCATCGGGGCACCACCGTCATCATCAACATCATCAGTATCATCATCGGGGCACCATCATCATCACCATCATCATCAGCATCACCATCAGAATCAGCACGATCATCATCGGGACACCATAATCATCATCAACATCATCATCATCAACATCAACATCTTCACCAGGACACAATCATCATCGTCATCATCATCATCTCATCATCATCACCATCAACATCAAAACCATAATCAACATCATCGGGACACCATCATCGTCATCATCATCAGCACCAACATAATCATCACGATCATCATCGTCATCAGCACACCATCATCATCATCATCATCATCATCATCATCATCACCGACACCATCATCAACATCATCATCGTCGGGACACCATCATCATCATCAACATCATCTCAACATCATCATCATCATCAACAACAGCATCATCATCACCAGGACACCATGATCAACACCATTATCATCAGTAACACCATCATCATCATCATGAACATTTTCCTCTTCCTCATAATCATCATCATCGGGACACCATGATCATCACCATCATCATCATCATCACCATCATCATCATTAGGGCACCGACGGGACACCGACGGGACACCGGCGGGACACCGCGGGCCCCCGGCCGCCCGGAAGGGAGACATTTGGTCCGGCCGCGCCTCAGCCACACGGGACACCAGCGGGACACCGGCGGGACACCGCGGGCCCCGGCCGCCCGGAAGGGAGACATTTGGTCCGGCCGCGCCTCAGCCACAGGAGACTTTCTCTCGCCCGCCCACGCAGCTTCGCCTCGCCCGCACGCACGGCACGCACGAACACGAAACCGAAATCGATTTCCCGGTAGGGGGGCTCTCCGTTCCACTTCGATCTCACCCCCTCACCTCCGACCCCCCAAATAATCCAAAAGTAGTCCAAAAATAGTCTGGGGATTTTTGTTTCTGTGTTGCTTCACCTGTTTGGGGCATTTGTTGGTTTTTCGTCGAAAATCAGCCTGTAGGGGGGCACGCCCGACATAAGTGTAACCTTTGTGGACGACGATCAATGGAGGGGAAGCATAATGCCAAATAACTCACAGATGCCTTAAACACATGTTTTCTAAAATGTCGTAAACATATCCAAAGAATGGTTTCCACATGTTCCTAACATGTCCCCACCTTTTGAACACGTATGTCATTCCATGTTCGGATTGTTAGGGTGTCCATTGTCATGGCATCCACAAGTTTAACCCGTTCCTATCCCCACCAGCGTGGCATGGGCCCCACTGGCCGATGTACCCCCTAGATGGGGATACAGGCTGCTCCCTTTCGGGATGGAGGCCATCCTGGGGCCGTCTGGAGCAGAAAAACCGACGACCTGGGAAGTATACGGATCCACGTGGACGCGATAGCTAATGGCCCTCGGCCCATCCCGGCCACCGTGCCTGGGTTGTGGGTATGAAGCCCATTGGATGTTCGTTGGGATCTCGTGGTGGGGGGATGGGGATGAGGATAGAGTTAGGTCGGGCATGTCCTCCTGCAGGTGGATGTTGGATGAAAAATTCGCCGGCCCAACGGCCAGAGGCGTGCTAAGATCTCCGGTAACTTGTTAACAATATTTCTAGTTCGCGCGCGGGGAGCGGCCCCTGGGGGCCCCCGGACGAAAAGTACCCCGGCAAGGTCCCGAGAGAAGCCCGGGAGAAGCCACCAGACCACTCCAGGGGAGGGTATTTTTCGACACCCCTCACGAGGATCGTGGCCTCCGAGGGGGGAGCCGCAATCGACTACCCCCAAGAGCCCCCCAAGAGGCCCTGGGGGCCTCCAAAACGCCGCCAAGGAGCCCCAAGAGACTCCCAAGAGGTCCCCAAGAGGCCCCCAAGAGGCCCTAAAGAGGGCTCCAGGGCCGGCGGCATGAGCGAAGCGATTAAATATAAAAATCAAACATCGTGAAAAATCGTTCCCTACCATTGTTTTACTATGTTTGAAGACTCCTCCTGTAGAGGGACAGGCCCGACTTAAGGACAGAGGTCGGTGGAACGACACGGAGCCACCGGGACGCGAGGAGCGGCGCCGAGGAAGCCCGCGCCAGTCCCGAGCCCAGCGTGCTGGGAAAGCCAGAGAGTTACCTCTGCCGCTCTGCTCCCCGGGCATGGCTCGAGCTCAACGGTGCTGTGCGTGTTGTGTGCTAACTTTCCTCCGCTCTGTCTTGTCGCCCCTTCGCCGCGGAAGAAACTCGGAACGAAATCGGAACGGAGCTGGTCGACGAAGTCGCCCAACCGCCGTTCAGCTCGAACCGTTGCTCCCCGGACCTCTCCCCAGGGTGCGCTCTCACCAGGACCTCGAGGCGCACCTGGCCGTGGCGGCGAGGGCCTCCCAGGAGGCCCACAAAGGGGGAGAACAGGGCTGAACCTAAACGGTGTGCTTCGTTTTCGTTTTGTGTTCGTTGTCCCTCGTTTTGTCTTCAGTCCACCTCTACCACAAAACGAAGTCGAAACGAAAACGGCCCACGGAATCGCCGAAACACCGTTCAGGTCCAGCCCTGGGGGGGAGAACGCGGGAGGAGGGCAGCGGTGGGGGCACGCACCCTCCTCCTCCCTGGAGCCCCCCTCCCGAGGCTCAGCGTGCTCCCTGCTCCAGAGGCCTCGGTGGCGCGCCCCGCCTCGGCGCAGGGGCCGCCGCGGGGCAGGGGAGGAGGAGGAGGAGGAGGAGGAGGAGGAGGAGGAGGAGAAGGAGTTGAGGAGGAGTTGATTTTTGGAGATTATTTTCTATTTTTCGTCGAACATCCCCCTGTAGTAGGGGGACAGGCCCGACGTAAGGTTACGCGCTGATCACAGGGGTGCGCCAGGAGTGGCCCCGAAGCGGCCGCCCATGCCGACGCGCCGCCTCCCTAGAGGAAAGGCATCCCCCGAGGCTGGGCCTCTCGCGGCCAGCCCCCCCCCCGTTGCACTGGAGGGGCCCAGGGAGGCACGAGCGAGCACGCACACATGCCTAGAGGCCTCCTAGATAGGGGTCCAGGTAGATGGGGTCGAAGGATCGCTCCGCATCGCCAATGCATCGCCGATGTATCGGCGATGCATCGACGATGCATCGGCCACGTCGGCGTGGGGAACCGAGGGCTCCACATCGAGCCGCACCGTCGATGCATCGGGGATGCGGCGCGACCCTCCGACCCCATCTACTCGGACCCCATCTTGGAGGCCTTGAGTGCCAGGATTCCCCACACGTCCGACATGTTCCGGATGTTCGTCGTCCCCTCCACTTCCCACATTTCCCACAGGCTCACGGGAATCGACGTTCATTTGTGTCTGTGTCTACTTGTCTCTCTTGGTTGACCCTCGCGGTCTGGATTTCGGGGCGCGATCATGCGGATATGCGATCGCACGGATGCGCACCGCGCGAAGCATCGGCGACAAAGAGCCCCGTATCCTCGGGGTCGCGGCCAAGGGGCCCAGCCCTTTTTCGCCCATGGCAAATTTCACTGCACGTTCTGGCGCCACCCCGTCTCCCTCACAAGTAACGCCTGAGCTGGATCAAAGCGCGGTTGGTCTCGAATCGGATCGAAATCGAATCGTAGCGCTCAGCTCTGGCTGGCCCCAGCCGATGCTGGTGAATCGGACCGAATCGAATCGAATCGGAATCGCGGGCCCTATCGGCGAATCGATTCGCTTCGAATCGGATCATAGGCGGCCCTGCTTGTAGCGGGGGAGGAAGGATTGGCACCAACACGACAACAACCGAACAACAAGTGAACACTGGAAATAAATGATTATCTGTGTTTTACACTGCGTCTAGCCATGTGCATCCCCTCTATTGGTTTCGGGGACGCGAGGTCACATGGTAGATCTTCCAAAGGCTAAGGTAGAACCATAAGCGCCACTGCCTCGGCTCACCATAACCACAAGGTAGAACCATATCTGCCATTCATTTGCCGCGGCTCGCCATCACCGCGACCTCCGCTTCAGTCGTCCGCACTCACTGCAGAGATCCTTCTCAAGGGCGCGACGTGACTGGCACCGTACGTTTGCGCAAAGAGAAAGGGAAGGGGAGAAGGACGACGCTGGCAACATATGCATCACCAGCTGATAGACACTCGTCTCGGCAAAGGACGCTCGCCCATTTCCTAGCCTCGGCTCGTGGATATGTTGCCATTGCGACCTTCGTTACAGTCATCTGCAAGATCTGGAAATCCCCTTCGCGGACCTGACGGGGCGAGCACCATGCGCTTGCGCAGGGAAGATGGGACACCCGAGATCCGACGTGGTGAAACAAATACCTCGCCGTACAATAAAACGCGAACAATCCTCTCGACCCGATCTTCCTATCTGATTTTTCGAACCATGTCGATCCACAAGGGTCCGAGAGCCCGAACCTATGTGTACGTGAGTGGATTATGCACGCACATACGCGTGCATGCGTACATACGTACATACACACATCATGACATAAACGATGCCCCGTTACGACGAAAGGACGACGACGACGACGACCACCGCGCCTCGGGCTCGGGCACTGATGGCACCGCAGGCTTTTTGGTCGTCAATTTCTTCGCCACGCTCCACTCGTAGACATCCGTGACGCTGCGGGTGATCCCCCCGTGCGAGATGGCCTCTGAATGACGAAGGAGGCCAGAGCGAGAGAGAGAGACAATGAGAGGAGAAAACGCCGTTCACATCAGAGGTGCTCTGGCAATAAGCAGTGAGAAACGTGTGCCCAAGCAGCAAGCGGATACGCGCGGGGTAAGCGTCCTCGCAACAGCGCCGGCGCCGAGATCGGCCGTATCAGCAAGAGGGCATTCTCGTTCCCCCCCTACGTTTACATACATACACACATAGTAGAATTTGAGGGGTGAGGTCGAAGTGAAACGAAATCACCCAATAGTGACATCGACTTTGGCTTCGGTTCGTGTCGTGCGTGACGTGCGTGCGGGCGAGGCGAGCCGAAGCTACGCGATGTCCTGCCCAAGCCGAAGCCAAGTCAGGCCAACATGAATCGCCTCCCCGCGGGGCAGCCGTTGGGTGAAGTTGTCCCGATGGTTGTCCCGATGATTGACCCGACACTGGTCCCAATGCTTGTCCCGATGCTTGTTGATGGTAGTCCTGGCTTTTGTCCCGATGGCTGTCCCGATGGTTGCCCCGATAATTATCCAAATGGTTGTGAGATTGGTTGTCCCGATGGCTGTCCCGATACTTGTCTCGATGATTGTCCCGATGGTTGTCCCAATTGTTGTCCCGATGGCTGTCCCGATGATTGTCCCGATGGTTGTCCCGACGGTTGTCCCGATGGCTGTCCTGATGTCTGACCCGATGCTTGTCTCGACGGCTGTCCCGATGCTTGTCCCGAAGAATGTCCCGACGATTATCCTGGTGATTGTCCCGATGGTTGTCCCTGTAGTTGTGCCGATGACTGTCCCAATGCTTGTTCCGATTATTGTCCCGCTGGTTGTACCGATGGTTGTCCCGTGTCGTCACAGTAGTTGTCCATTTAGTTGTCCCGATGCTTATCCCGATGCTTGTCCCGATGCTTGTCCTGATGGTTGTCCCGATTGTTGTCTCAATGTGTGTCCTTATGGTTGTCCAGATGTTTGTGCTGAAGATCGTCCCCATGGTTGTTCGTTGGTTGTCCAGGTTATTGTCCCGATGATTTTCCACATGATTGTCCCGATGGTTGTCCCGATGATCGTCACAGTAGTTGTCCCTTTGGTTGTCCCTTTGGCTGTCCCGATGCTTGTCCCGATGCTTGTCCCGATGCTTGTCCCGTTGGTTGTCCCGATTGTTGTCCCAATGGTTGTCTTGATGGTTGTGCAGGTGATCGTGCTAATGATTGTCCCAATGCTTGTCCCGATGGTTGCCAAGATGGTTGTCTCGATGGCTGTCCCAATGGTTGTCCCGACGGTTGTCCCAATGGCTGTCCTGATGCCTGGCCCGATGACTGTCCCGATGGTTGTGCCGATGCGTGTCCCGATAATTATGCCGACAATATGTCCGATAATTTCGCCGATGGTTGTCCCGATGCTTGTCCCGATGCTTGCACCGATAATTGTCCCGATGGCTGTCCCGACGGGTGTCTCGATGGTTGTCCCGATTCTTATCCCGATGATTGCCCAGATGGTTGCCCCGATGCTTGTCCCGACTCGCGTCCCGATGGTTGTCTTGGTTGCTCCGATGCTTGTCCCGATGGTTGTCCCGATGGCTCTGCGAGGCCAAGACACGAATAATGAGCCCTGCGAGGCCATAACAAAACAAATACGCTACGCGAGGCTATGATACAAAAAGTGCCCTCTGCAGGAACAAACACACAACAGATGCGCCCTGCCGGGCAAGCCAACACATAAACATACCCAAAAACGCTCTGCAGGGCAGCACATGGAAACATCGCGTTCAGATAGAGTAAAACGTTGTATAATAGTTCATGCGTCTGTGGGCAAGTGTGTATATATATATATACATGTATATGTGTGTATGGGGCCAACACAGTGAGCACCCCTGGAGCACTCCGCACCAGGAGCCTCCCTAACCGAGAGGAGGGCGCCCCCCATCCAGGGGGTGGCCTGAGTGCAAAGAGGGGGGGAGGGGTTCGAACCGGGGGGGGGGGGGGGCCCTGTCTTGGTGGTCTCCAAACCAGGTGGTGAGACACCCGGTGGTGACCCCGATTCCCCCAATAAATAATTCTGGGTCACCACCGGGTTTGGGGACACGCGGTCGCCACGAGGTTTCGCGTTTCCTGGGCCAGCCAGCGCTCGAAAACCATTACCCAAATCGCCCAAAACTCACCACCAGGTGTTCTCACCACCACGTTTGGGGACCACCAACTGTCCAGAGGGGGGGGGTTCGAATCGGGGGGGAAAGGGCCGCCATCCTGTCCAGGGCGCGGGGGTCGAACCGGGGTGGGGTCCCAACTGGGGGCCCAGGGCAGGGTCGTCGTCGTCGTCGTCGTCGCCTTCGTCGTCGTCGTCGTCGTCGCCGTCGTCGTCGTCGTCGTCGCTGCCCGACGGCGCCCGCGCGGGCGCCAAAGGGGGGGCCCCCCGTCCCAGTTCGAACCCCCTCCCCATTGCAACTCAAAGGGGTGGGCCCTGTGCGCGTCGTCGTCGCCGTCGCCGTCACCGTCGCCGTCGCCGTCGCCGTCGCCGTCGTCGCCGTCGCCGTCGCCGTCGCCGTCGCGATCGCCGTCGCCGTCGCCGTCGCCGTCGGCGTCTCCGTCGCCGTCGCCCTCGACGTCGCCGTCGCCGCCGCAGTCGCAGTCGCTGTCGCCGTCGCCGTCGCTGTCTCCGTCGCCGTCGCCGTCGCGATCGCCGTCGCCGCCGTCGTCATCGTCGCCGCCGTCGTCATCGTCGTCGTCGTTGGTCATCGTCGCCGTCGCCGCCGTCGTCATCGTAGTCGCCGTCGTCGTCGCCGTCGTCGTCATCGTCGCTGCCCGACGGCGCTGTCGCTGGCGCTGACGCCGCCGCCGTCGTCGTCGTCGTTGTCGTCGCCGCCATCGCCGTCGTCGTCGTCGCTGCCCGACGGCGACGGCGCTGGTGCCAGCGCTCGCCGTCGTCGGTTGCAGGGAGGGGGGCCCTCGTCGTCGCTGCCCAACGGCGCTTGCGCCAGCGCCGGCGGTCGTTCGAAACCCCCCCCCTCTGCAACTCTGGGCGGGGGGCCCCCGGTTCGAACCGCCCCGGCATTGCAACTCGAGGGGTGGGGGCCACCTCGGTTCGAACCCCCTCATTAAGAGGGGGCCGCAGAAATGGGACAAATGACAACCAACTAGAACCAATTCCAACCACCTTTGTACAAGTTGTAACCCCTCTGGGACAAATTCTAATCACTGTAGGACGAATTCCAACCAACCTCTACAAGAAGCCCCACAGGCGTCTTAGAGACGTACGGGCGTCTTAGAGGCGTAGTACGGGCGTCCTAGTCGTACGGGCGTTATAGAGGCGTCGCACGGGCGTCTTAGAGACGCCTTAGAGGCGGCGTACGGGCGTCTTAGAGGCGTCTTAGAGGCGTCCTAGGGGCGTCTCTGAGAGGCGTCTTACGGGCGCCTTGGAGGCGTCGAACAGGCGTCCCCAGGAGGCGTCTTTGAGAGGCGTCTCTGAGAGGCATCTTACGGGCGTCTCTGAGAGGCGTCTCTGAGAGGCTTCTCAGAGACGCCTCTCAGAGACGGCTATGAGTGGGATGCTGGTGATGGTGATGATGATGGTGACGATGACCAAAAGATGATGATGGTGATGGTGATGGTGGTAGTGGTGATGATGGTGATCATCATGATGCACCCGTGAACCCTCACGTCCTTAAACGTAAGCCCTAAAACCTTAAGCCCTTGAACCCTAAGACCGTGGAGCCCGTATGCCCTAAATCTATTAAGTATTAAAACCATTAAGCCTTTAAGGCCTCAAACCCTCAAACACCTAAACCCTTACCATGTAACACATACATCCTTAAATACCTAAACCCTGAACTCTGGAAGCCCTACAACTCTTGCGCCAGTCAAGGCCTCAAGCCCTTAAGCACCGAAACCCTTAACCCTTTAAACCCCTAAGCCCTTGAGCCCTTGAGCTCTTAAGCCACCAAACCTTCAAACGCTTTAAGTCATTAACTCCTTAAACCTAAACGCTTACGCCCTCAAACCCTCACGTAAACCCTTCAACCCTCAAGTCAAACCTGGGCAGTCATGTTAGCTTCTTGAACAAATGTGCAGACCTAAGCAGATGGCTTAGTTTGGGGATATCCTAGCATCGCCGTACAAGTAGAATCATACAGCGACGATGTTCGGCTGGTTGGAACTAGTACCAGTTTATCTTTCCGAGCTGGCTGGAGAATGTACCAGCTGGTGGGGAGAGGTCCCAGCCGGTGGGAATTAGTACCGCATGCGAGCCCCCCCCCCCAAGTTCGACCCCCCTCCCCTGCATCTCTGGGGAGGGAGGGCCCCCCCAGTTCGAACCCCCCCCTCTTCCCAGCGTCAACAGAACGCGCTCGTGCACAGGTAGATTGAGAGAGAGCACGACAGATAGATAGATAGTGAGACCGAGATCTAGTGAGATTCATAGGTAGCTGATCGATATACAGACAGACAGATCTACAGATGAAACACATGTACTTCTACATACATATGTATGGTGGCCTAAGGAGGGGCACACATATACATATATCTATATGTGCGTGTATAGATGTATGTTACATACATATATGCAGATGTATGTATGTGCATATATGCTCAACTAGATACATCGAAAAATTGGCAGCTCAACACACAGATGATAGATAGACGAAAGTCCCGAAGGTCCACTTGATGTCCAGATGTGTGTCCACTCGTAAATTGCACAGTGTCCCAAACAAACAAAAAACTCCCTATCACCCGAGGGGTGGCTACGAGGTACAGAGGAGAAGGAGGCGGGGAGGGAGGGGAGGCCAAGGCGGACATGGCCTCCACCGTGATGACTCCCTTCGACAGCGTGATATCGAAAAAGCCGTACGCGTCGTCGTAGCCGCTGAGCTCTGGGGCGCCGTCGGCGGTGAT